GACTCCCGCGAGGCCGGCTGTCACTTCCGTCACCATCATGTTTTGGAAATGCTCTGGTGCACTGGAAATACCAAATGCCAAACGATTGAAATGGTATCTACCAAATGGCGTAATAAGTGTGGTGAGGAGAGCAGATTCTTTGGACAGCGGTATTTGCCAAAAACCCATGTTAGCATCAAGCTTGGAGAAATACTGCGCACCTGTGAGCATGCCTAGTGTTTGGTCTACAGAGGGGAGGATATATCTTTCACGACACACCGACTCATTTAATGGTGTCATGTCCACACAGATATGGACTTTCTCTTTGTCCTTTTTGGGGGCTACGACCATGCCGCAACACCAGTCTGTGGGCTCTTCCACACGACTGATTACTCCCAACTGTTCCATCCTTTCCAGCTCTGTTTTGACTTTGCCCAGTAGTGGCAGTGGAACACACCTTGGCACTTTCAGTGAATAAGGTTTAGCGTTGGGCTTCAGCTTAATCGTGTATGGTTTTTGAACAAGCCCGAGCCCATCACATAGTTTCGGGTACGCTTTCTTCACTGTCTCAAGGTCAACATTGTCCATCCGGGCAATTAGTTTCAGTCTCACAGAAGCTGTCCTGCTTAAGAGAGCTACACCCAGATTTCTGACTACATAGATTGTCTCTGTAGTGCTCCTGTCACTGTAGGAAATGTCCTCCTTTGTAGACCCAAGTACCATCAGTGCTGCACCTCCTGGTCCATACAGTGGCTTTTCAGCTTTTTGCAAATGTTCATTTGGCTGCTTAATGTCTTTGAATGTCTCCTCTGAGATAGCTGTGACATCTGCCCCCGAGTTTAATTTAAATGTCATGCTTTTGCCTCTCATGCAGATGTTAGCAAGCCACGGGTCTTCTCCTGCCACCTCATGCACAGTTGTAGATCTACAAACTCTCCCGTAGTGTCCACGTTTTCCACAGTTGTGGCATTCTGCATTTTTGGCTGGGCGCTGTGCTGCTGGGTGCATCGGTGCTTTTCCACATTTAGAACATGTTTTATTCTCTTGTTTTGTTATTTGTGGTTTTTGTGGCTTGAACTGCTTTTGGTCTCTGCTTCTGAATTTATTTGGCTGTGATTTTCTGACATGCACGGCCTGCACGGCTGTTTTGTCCGTGCTGCTTTCACCTATTAGGACAGTTTGCTGTCTTTTTATTTCCTCAGATTGTCTCGCCATTGTGATAGCTTTGGTTAGGGTCAAATCTTTGTTGAGCTCCATTCTCTCCGACAGTGATGAATCTTTAAGACCCACAACGAGCCTATCCCTCAAAAGTTCATCGTGAAGTTCACCATATTCACAGTTTTCAGCGAGAGCATATAGAGCTGTTATGAAGGAGTCAACTGTTTCTGCTGGCTGTTGTAATCGCTTATTAAACCTTGCTCTTTCATAGATCACTTTCTTTCTGGGGACAAAATGTCTATCAAATGCGTTTCTGACCGCATCGTACTACTGGCACTGCCCGTCTGTTAGGTCAAGTCCCCTTAGCACGTCGTCAGCCTCGTCTCCCATGCAGTAAACTAATGTGTTCACTTGGTTAGCATCTGTTGAACTGTTCAGATTACTTG